CTGCCCGGAGCAGCTACCGCCGTCCCTCCCCCGGGCCCGGCCGGGCCGGGGCGACACCTACCTCACCAGGATGGCCACCCCCACGTCCTCGCAGTTGGCATAGAGCCGGGCCCACGTCGCCTGCACCGCCTTCCTCTCCGCCTCGGACAGCTCCTCGCTCCGCTCCCTGCGCTCAATCTCCATCTCGCCCGGCACTTTCTCCATGAGCAGCTTCAAGCCCAGCCCGGCTTCGCTCGGCGGCGGCGGGGCGCGGGGCGCGGGGAGCCGGGGCCGGCTGCGTGCGCGGCGGGCGGGCGAGTGGTAGAGCGCGCCGGAGGGAGGGAGCGTGTCTGTCTGTGCGCGCCGGGTGTGTGTGTGTGTGTGTGTGTGCGCGCGCGTGTGTGTAGGGTATATGTGCAGGGGGCGGGGGACCGCGAGCGGGGGGCGGGGATGTGGTCTGCTGGAAAAAATGTGAAAAAAAAATAAATCCGCTCCAAACCCCCAAACTCGTGTCCGTGAGCCAATTCCGGCAAGGTGAAGGCTGGGCGGGGTGGGGGCGACGCGGCCGGCGCCTGCCCGCCCTCCAGACCGGAGTTTGATGGCCGGGCGGGGCTGGGGCGTAGGTGTGGCGGGGGTACTGGGGGTCTCGGGAGGAGGCGGCTGGCAGACACCGGGCGCGGGGTCGCTTGGGCCGCACAGGAGTGCGCCGCGGCGGGTGCGGGTCTGGGGGCGTGTGCGGGTCTGGGGGCGTGTGTGCACCCTTCCCGCCAAGGGGAACTGACTCTGAATCAAACACTCCCGGTGTTTGCGGCGTGGCTGCGAGCCCGAGGGGGCGGACGCGAGCCCCTCCGGCAGCGCCGCGGTGGGAGCTGAGCTCTGGCTAGACCCTCCACCTTCCCCGAGCCAGCCGCGGGGCCCTGGCGCCACCCCCAGCGCTCCGGACCCCAGACTCCGAAGGGTTTGGGACTGGGGTCATCTCCCTGCTCCAACACCTTACAGGAAAACCCCGGTGCGGAGACAGGAGGGCGGCTGTCAAACTTGAGCGGCCAAGAGGCCTGAGCCCCTCTTTCCTTTCCCGCCAGCACCCCTGCCCCTAGGTGCACGCACGTGGCCTCAGAAAAAAAGGCCCTGGAGACCCTGGGTGACTTACCAACTACACAGGCAGGCCAAAACCTGGCGCTCCCCTAATGCTGGCCCTGGAGGAACGAAGTTGGAAGGAGAGGCAGCTGACTGGGCAGAGGCCCTGGGTGGGGATGGTGGGATGTCAAGAAGTCCTGGGGAGGGCCAGGAAGCTGGAGCCATCTCAGCTGCCAGGGCCTGGGTTAGGGAGGGGTTCTGTGGGTGAAGAAGACAAGTTCTTGTCCTGGTGGGATTCTCAGGGAGGCGCGATTGGACCAGAGGTGGGGACGGTACCTCTGAGAGCCACCCGTATGGTGGGGGTCCTGCCTCTGACTCCCAGCTGAAGCCAGAGGCTGCAAGCATCTGAAAGCTGCGAGGGCACTCGTCCGGTGTGTCCAGTTCTCTCTAAGGCTTCCTGGTGACCCTGCCTATCCAACTCTGTCTACTGCTCAAGTTTAGCAAGAGGCGTAGCTTGGCTCTTCAGCTTTGGTTGATGTGCTTCTTTAAAAAATCGTTTTTCCAAGTAGAGCGCCCTGGCACAGCCCCAGGTCTGGGCCTTGATGGAGTCCAGGGTCCAGGTACCTTGCTGGAACCCTGGGCAGGAGGTCTCTTGCCAGCAGGTCTCAGCTGAGGGAGGGCAGCGCCAGTGCCCTCCTCTGGGAGTCTTGGAGAGGGATGGAGGAGAATGGGTGGGCTCAGCTTCTTGGGCCACTCTAGACCCATGTCCTCGCTTTTGATCTGTGCTCCGCATGCTGCCTGGAGCAAGGCAGAGCACGCTGTGCTGGGCCACCTCAGAAACTCCTCGGAGAGCTTCCCACGGCCAGTGCAGTGGCCTTCCAAATGGCGGCCCAAGAGATTCCCCTGGGATGTGGACAGAAAGTAGGAGAAAATTACTTTTATCTCAACCTTTACAAGCTTTATGTGTGTCTCTGGTGGCAGGACTGTATTTGCACAGTAATATGGTGTATAATTTATGAGTGGATGCATATGATTCCTTTATGAGTGCACCCGTGTGTGTCTTTCATGAGTGCACACTTAAATTCTGCTTTTTGCTGACGAGGGTATGTAATCAGAAGCACTGGGTGAGGACTGTCCAGAGGTTAGAAGTGAACCATTTAGCCAGCCCAGCCCTTCGCTCCCTGGCCTCCCTTGTCTTTCTGGCTTCATCATCTATATTCTTCCTCTCTCTTCCTCCCCTCCTGATACCTCCCCTGTGACATCATGCCTCCACCAATACTCGAATTCCAGTTGCTGGAACACGCCTTGAGTTTTCACGCCTGCAGCCCTGGCAGAGTCTTCTGTCTGGGGGCCCACTCTTCCCTGAGCCCCTGCAAATTCAGCCAAGATGAGAGAGCCCAACTTCTCTCTAAAGTGTCTCCTGATGCTTGTAATTCTCAGAGAGTTCTGTAGGCGTCTTTAATCGCCTGAGTCTCTCCGCGGTGGGTGGTGGCCATTTGTTTAACTTGCCAGGGAGTTTGTTGTAGACTCTAAGCCCCTAGAGGGCCAGGCCCAGGGCTTAGTCATATCTACATTCACAACAGGCAGAGGGTGATTTACCCTGCCACTGGGGGGACAACCTGGGTCCAGTGAGGTTAATCAGGCTTCACAAGGTCGGGTCTGCTGACCCCACTAATCAGCTTGAGCCTCCTAATCCATCGCCAGCAGGAACTTCAGGACGGAGGGCAGGGACTGGGGAGAGCTGGCGGGGGCCACCTTGGCCTTCTCCTGCAGACTCGGTCCGGAGGGGATGGGGCAGCTGAGACATGTGCACTACCCTCTTCCTGCTCAGCACCTTGGCCATGCTCTGGCGCCGCCGATTCGCCAACCGGGTCCAACCGTGAGAAACTCACTGGGCCATGGACTGGGGCGGGGAGGGGAAACAGTTGGGCTGAAGTCGGCAAGGGCTGCCTGGACTCAGCAGGGAGGCTGGGAGGGACTTGCTGGGGAGCCCTGAGAGGCTTCCCCTTGGAGTAGGGGGCACTGGGAGTTCTTGGAAGATGCTGGCTGCAGCCTCTGGTCCCCAGAACCCACTATGGCTTAGGTCTTGCAGAGAAGCAGGAGAGGGGCCTGGGGTCCAGGGTCTGGGGTCTGGGATCCAGGTGTTGCCCACAGCTCTGCCGACCTCTTTTCCCTCCTGCAGAGAGCCCAGTGGAGTCGATGGGGCAGTTACGGGCAGCAGCTTGGAAACAGACCTCCAGTCCTCAGGCAGGTGAGGCAGAAGAGCCTGGAGTGGAGCAGGGAGGCCGTCAGGCGTAACTAAGGAGGCTGCCTCTGTCCCTAGTCCCTGCCCAGGCCCTGGGGTGTACGTGTGTGAGTGAGTGTGTGTGTGTGTGTGTATGCGCTCCAGGCTGGCCCCTCACCCCAGCTCGCCTGTTCCCTGTGTGCCTATGGTAGGCTGAGTATCTGTTTTCTCCAGCTGGGTATGGGAGTCCCAGCCTCCCCTCGTGGACCCAAACTGTTCTGTCTTGCGTGTCCGAGTGTGGGGTGGCCCCCAGGGCCCCCCTGTTGGGAGGCGCAGGGGGAGTGGAGAGAGGGAGGAGGCAGCAGCAGCTCTGTGATGCTCGGCCTGCCTTCCCTTCCCCCTCCCTCTCCCGGCCCCCACCCAGTCTCGGCAGCTCCGCTGCCTGAGCCTCCAGCAGGATTCGCTGTCCGGTCCCCAATAGAAGGCGCGGGAGGCGCATGACATCACCGCCACCGAGTGCCATTGGCTGGGCAGCCCCTGCGGGCAGGACGCTGTCTCCAGTGGCCAGAAAGTTAACTCTTCCCTCTTCTGAAGCCATGTGGCCTTTAGAAGGGGTGAAGCTAGGGTGGGGGGGGATGTCTGGACTTCTCCTTCCCCAGGTGACTAATGTCCTTTGATGAGAGGGGCTCTGTGGCCAACAGCACACTGAAAACTGAACAGTATTTGTTAGGGACACGCTGTGGGAGACGAGGGTCTGCACCTGCGGGCCCACCTGGTGCGGAGGCCTAGCTGCAGAGGGATGTCCTCTCCTGCAGCAGCTTCTTTGGAGCCCTGCACTGCCGCTCTCACTCCCCGTGAAAGACGCAGTGTGGCGGCCTTGGGCTGCGGGACCCTGGGAGCAGGCTGCCTCCCCACAGGGCTCAGATGGTACAGACAGGCAGCATGTGCACGCACGCTTGTCTGAGAGCCCCATGTCTCGTCCAGGGCGTGAGGGACGTGCCTGTGGTGTGACCCCCAGATAGGTCGAGATGGGCAATAGAACGTGTCTTTCTCGGTGTCTCTGCCCTGACTTCTCAGTGGTTTGGAATGTCAAAAGCATGTTCCCTGGCTCCCTGCCCACCCCCAACTCCGTCTCCCCTACCTCCCCTGGGTCCCCAGGAAGCCCAGGGCCTGTGCAGGAAGCAGAGTCACTTCTGCGATGCCCTTCCTTTTAGTTTCCCGACTGGGGATCCAACCCGGAAGGCGGTGTCTTAACCATTGCTCCTCCAGGAAAGCTCCCTGGTCCTCACTGTTGGGTTTGGGTCTAGAGTGGGGCAGGCATGCGTGCTCAGTTGCTCAGTCGTGTCCGATACTGGGCAACCCCATGGACTGTAGCTCACCAGGCTCTTCTGTCCACGGGATTTCTTAGGCAACCACAGTGGGTTGCAGTTTCCTCTGCCTGGTGATCTTCCCGATGCAGGGATCGAACCCATGTCTCCTTCATTGGCAGGTGGATTCCTTACCACTGAACCACCAGGGAAGCCTGGAGTGGGGCAGCCTGAGTTTAAATCCCACCTCCCCTCTTACTGACAGCCTGTGGGTGAATTATGTAATCTTTTTATTTATATGTAAACTGAGATTAATAACAGAGCGGTTACAAGGTTTCTGTGAGGTTTGAGTGAGATAACCATTATAATGCACTGGGCACAGAGTAACTGCTCAATTAACACCAGGTTCTCTCTTGCTGTTTTAAGATCAGTGCTTTATTCTTCCCCGGGGGCTCTCTTCCCCAGGGGATCTCACTCAGAAGATCCCCTGGCCTCAGAGGTCTGGCACTTCAAGTATTTCTGGGTCTTGCCAAGGTTGCAGGAAACTGAGGGAGAGGGAGATGGAGATGACTTGCTTGAGGCCATCCGCGAAGTTTGTGGTTGATGTGGGACTGGCAGGTCTCTGACTTCACACTTCATCTCCTCCACATGAAATTCCCCTGGAGCTTCTGTCAGGAGAGAAAAGGCCAAATCTGGGACCATCTGGCTGGGCCTGGTCTGCCGTGGCCTTGCCAGGACTGTTAACTCTTTGGGACTCAGTTAACTGGAGAAACTGGTCTCCCATCTACCCCTCCTGATGATGGCAGCTCCATGGAGGGCTTGCTCTCCATTCCACTGTCGTTAATTCCAACTGGCTTCTGGGGGACTCCTGCTCCTCTATTGTAGGGTGAATCACTAGGTGCAGGGGTGGGAGAAAGGGGAAGACTGGAAACAGGGGCGGGTCCATCCCTCCAATTCTCTGACTCCGTGTTCTTTCCTGTTTAGGGAGAAAGAGCCTCTGAAGTAAGCCCTGGTCTCTTGAGGCGGAGCTCAGCCCCAGGGCCTGGGATCAGCTGGCCACGGCAGGTAGGGCAGGGTCTGTAGCCTCGAGGGCCGAGAGCAGGGCTGGGGACACGGCGGGAAGGACAGAGTCCACGAGGCCTGGCTGCATGGGAGCGGAGCAGGCTGTGGTCACCACGGAGGTTGAGGGTAGGAGGGTGGACTCCTTCTGGCGGCTCCTGCCCGGACGCTGTTGTGTTCCAGGTCACAACATAAGGGTTAGTTTTAAGAGAACAAGGGGTCATCTCAATAGCATTTTCTAGGCCTGGGGATGAGGTGGCGGTCCTGCTGGGGGCCTGAGGGCTGTCTAGAGGACTTCTCAGGGAGAGGCAGTGCTCTGGGATTCCACTCTGAAATACAAGCCCCTGCTCTGGGATGGGACAGCCAGCCCATCAGCTGGGTTTTCTCTTTCAGCTCAAGTCCCGGTGTGCCCCCCACCCTGGAAGGACAATGTGCTGGAAGCAGCAGCTGCAGGAGGGGGACCAGGGAAAGCAGTTGTCGAGAAGGTAGACTCCCCTTTTGGCCCGGACCGCTGGTCTGCACTGCCCCAGGCCCTGGTATGGGGCTCCTGGAGAAGCGGGCCTGGCCGGGCAGGTGGGAGGGGCGGAGGAGCTTGAGCTCTGGGACAGGCTCCCTTCCTTGGAGGCCACCCAGAGAAAGGGACTCAGTAGGGTGCCCCAGCCCTGTTAACTCTGGGGCAACAGGAGGGAACAGTAAGGAGTGAGGAGACTCCAGAAGTGAGGGACAGCGGTGGCTCATGTTCGCCAAGGAGGGGCTGCCTCTTGTCCTCTGCTGAACCCTCACAATAACCCATGGAGGCTGGTCATGCGATCATCCACGGTTTAGAAATGAGGAAACTTGCAGAGAGGTTCGCTGACTTACCCAGCATCACCCAGCCAGAAAGTGGGGGACCCCAGGCTCATAAGGGGGAGGGTGTGCAAGCCTCCTGAAACCACCTGGAATCTGCGGCTGCTCAGGGGAAGAAGCGGTTTTGCTGGCCTGGCCACCCATCGCTGGCAGCTCAGCCCGTCCAGGGCTGTGTGGTGTCACTTGGTGGCGGTGGCGCTCACATCCTGTGACATTTGCCTCTCCCCAGTCCCCAGAGCTCACCCTGCTGGCGGCTCTGCTGAAAAGAGCTCTAGGAAGGGCCGGCTGGGTCTATGAGGTGTCTGCCTGCAGCTGGATGGAAGCAACCCACAGCTTGTCCTCGCAGAGTGCGTGCTTGTGTGTGCACGCGCGTGCATGCAAGCCTGTGTTCCAACTGGGCAGTAGCGTGTGGGAAGGGAGAAGCGTGACACTTGTTTTTGTCAGTCTGCTGACTGCTCAGTAGCAGCGGCGGTGGCCTCCTTTGCCCCCAGCTGCTCTGCCATTTCTCTCTTTACGATCCTGCCTGATCCTGAGCAGAGATAAAAGGAGATTTCCGCTTCTGCTCCCTGAGATCCAGGCGCAGACCCGGCAGGCAGCTGCTGCCCACTGCCTCACGGCCATTCATCTTGCCAAGCACCCCTCCTCCCACGTGCATCTCTCCTCCCCCTCCAGCTCCCACTGCTCACCCCCTGCTAGGAGCGAGGCCTCTGTCTGGCCAGCCCCCTGCCCCTTGACTTTCGGAACTGGAGGAGCTCTGTAGACAACAGGGAAGGCTGAGATGCCGCAGACTTGGGGAACCCACTCTCAAGGGACAGGGAGGAGGCACAGCCTGCTGCAGGGAGCCTGGCAGTTCTGTGGGAGCCTCAAAAAGTAGGGCAGGGTGGAGGCAGGGGAAGGGTCGCACCAGGGGAAGGAGCTCCGCGCTGGAACCGAGTCAGAGCCCCACTGCCCATCTGACATGGGCCACAAGTTCGTGACCACCTGTCTCAGCTCCCGTCAGCCTGTCTTTCTCCGGGAGGCATCACCATCCTGGTGACAGGACTTACAGGCTGAGGGCCAGAGGGCACTGTTCCCAGGACCTGGCCTGTGTTCCCTGATCCTATCTTTGCATTCATTCTCTAATCTCTTTGCCATATTCCTGTCACTTCATCCTGGCTGCTGCTCTCTGCCTGTCTCCTTCCACTGGGCTGAGGAACTGTCAGAGCAAGGTCGGCTCGCTGCACCGGGGCTGGCTCACCGCCCAGACACACATCCACAGAGTGACACCCCTTTGCAGCCCTGTTCTCAGAGTCTGCCCAGGAGGTGAAGGCGCCCCTGGGGACCATTAGCCGGAAGAAGGGAGGGAAAGCGAGAGGAAGGGGCTGCTGGGGGTGGGGGGAGGTGTCTTCTGGGCTTGGAGGCTGCCCAGGCCCTGGCAGCCGGGGTGCCATGTGGGCTGGGTGGGAGGGGCTCTCTCCCCCAGGGAGCAGGCTGGCTTCGGTGGGAGCAGATTGTGTTTACACCTTCCCCACACGCCCGGCCCACGCTCGCCTCTTATTCTCAGGGCTCTCCCACCCCTGGGCTCTGCACAGTCTGCACGCTGGCAGCTCCTATTGCAGAGTTGCCACCCTCAGCCGAGAACTCCTCTTCAGGAGGCTGCCCGGGGCTGAGGCGCCCCTTCCTCGGCCCACTATCTCCCATCCCAGCAGCTGGGCTGAAGCCCATGCGGGGGGTGGACCCAGTGTTCCCAAGAGACTGAGTCCCTCTCCCTCCCATTTCCTTAGAAAGAGCCGCTGCTTGGTAATGAGAGCAGAAAAGTTCAGGAGCTTGGTAGGTCAGCTATAACAAGAAGGAGGGGATTAAGGGCGACTCAGGAGGGAGAGCTGGGTCCCTCCTGGACCAGGGTGTGGGCTGTTAGGAAATAGTGATCAGGGATTTGAGAGCGAGGGGCCCAGGGTTGGAGCACCAGGTTGAAACCTTGACTCCACCTCCACTTCATACCTCTGTGGCCTTGGGTACGTTACTGCATGTCCTGTGCCTGTTTACTCATCTATAGCATGGAGATAATAGTTTCCTGTCTCACAAGATTGATGCTCAATTAGATAATGTGTGCGGCGTGTTTACCACATTACTAAGTGTTCAATAGATGTGAGCTAGTGGGATTGTGTTTGTAAATTGTCAGTTACTGAACAATTACAGAATAATCAGTAGGTAAATCTAACAGCTAGGGTCCCTCCCCTCTTTCCCATGGCCCCTCCTGGCCTGTCTTTCCACATAGACGACCACCAGGCACTGGGCAACTCTGAAACACACGGGAGGACAGCAGAGAGTGGCACTGCTGGGTGGGGGCCACCGAGTAAGACCTAGCACCCAGTGAGACGGTACAAGAGCTGGCTGCTGTCGCTTCTGGGTACCTAGAACCCCGTCCCAACCTCCAGGGGGTGGGGATGGTTCTGGCCTGGACACCTGCCCCCCCCCCCCCCCAAGAGGCTCCGCTTCTCAGCTCCAGAGAAGACAGGCGGCGGTTGCCCTGATGCTCTTCCACCCTCCGTCTGAATGCTAATCTCCCTGCCGTGGGAGCCTGAGTGACAGGGAAAAGGTTGCTCGGAGCTGCAGGGCAGCTGAGGGCAGCAGCCGGAGGCAGGGAGGTACTGTCTTCTGCGACTTCTGTGGCTGAGGCTCAGGGCTGCTGCCAGTCTCTCCTGGAGCCTGGGAGAATGGGACACGACCAGAGAGCTGACAGCGTGGCGGGGGTGGGGTGGGCGAGCAAGGGAGGCAGCTGCAGCAGCGCCTGGCGTGACCTGGGGTGCAGATGTGACCAGGGAGGGTGCCAGCCCATCCCAAACGTTGTCTACGGACAGGACGGTCCTAGACTGGCGGGACACAGCCCCATCTGAGGCAGCCATGATGACACAACACGACAGCAGGACCCCACGGCTCCCGGGATCCCCTGTGCAGGCGCCCCACTGCTAGAGGAGCCCAAGACCTTGAGATAGAGCCTCAGCAGGGGAAGAGCCAAGAGGCTGATACCGAGGTTTACTTTGAGGATAATGATACTACTACTATTATTAATAATGGCTAATAGGTCTCAAACACTCTGGGCCAGGCGCGGTGCCAAGAGCTTTATTTATAAGCACTGTCTCATTTATGAGGCAGGAACTGCTGTTAACCTCATTGACCCAATAAGGAAAGTGAGGTTCACAGAACTCACTCAAGGTCACTCACAGCTGGTGGCAAAGCCAGACCTGCGCCCGGGCAACGTGATGCTGGAGCTCGCGAGCTGGCAGGGCAGGAAGGGCCTGAGTCTCGAGGAAAGCCAGGGCGAGCTGGCCTCCAGGCACAAGGAACGAGTCGTGGCCCCACCTGGGCGGTGCCTCTGCAGGCAGGCCAGGAGGGCTCTGCCAGGGTTACCTCTGTGCTCTCTCTTCTGGAACCCATGGTTCAAGGGTAGACACTTGGTCCTGAAATGGCCAGTCCTTGCCTGCCAGCTGACAGGAGAGAGAAGAGCAGGCTCTGCAGGATCTGTCATACTCTCGGGGAGGAGGCAGTGGCCGCCGGCAGGGGTGACAGACAGAGGCCAGCACTCAGAGCCACTGCCAATCTGCTGTCCCCTTCAACCAGGGCAGAAAGAGAGGACACAGCCAGCAGCCTGGCTGGAGGGGGAGCTGGAGGAGGTGGAGGGCTTCGAGCAGGTGGCTTCGAGAGGGAGCCCCTGACTTAAACTGGAAACGAGTCCTGGTACATAAGGACTACAGACCCTCTCTGTGAGATGCACATGCCCCCT